TGAATCCCACCACGGCCCTTGAATCATCTGTGTTCAACTTGGTCCTCTAGTTGACACAGACTCTCCCATTATCTGCTGCCTCTCCAGGGTGGGGATCAGCTATCTAATGGGGAAGAGAAGTCTCTTTATCAACCAGATCTCCAAGCTCGTGCCTGGCTTAGAGACTAGCAAGAACCCAACAGCTGGCAGCTCATGGAAGAATTTTTCTGGAATTTTTTTTCCAGCTTTGAGACTCATCCAGCCCATTTTTGAACATGATCTTTCTTTTATCAGTTTTTTTTCCACTACACCAAATTTGGTCCCATTCTGTCTAGTTTTGGGAGAATTATCTGCTGATGGACAGATAGAGCCCCCAGAGGGTGATTCATCTGAAACCACATTCTGTTGTGTTCCAGGATGTCAAGATAGCAGCTGAGACACATATATAAAAAGGCCAGGGTTTCATCAAGCACCCCAGCTACATTCTTGACTTTTTATTTTATTTTGATATATATATATATATATATATATATATATATATATATATATATATATATATATATTTAAAAAGAAAGAAATAGGGAAGAAAATTAAGAAGTGAAAAAAATAGTTGATGCAGAAATAATATATCAATAAATGGACAAAGAAAAATTTTTTAAAGTTAGACAGTAAGAGCTCAATCTATTGCTGATGAAAGGTTAACCATAAAGACAGAATACATTGTTACTTTTGATAATAAACAAAACAGATTTTAAATATAGTTTTGAGGGTTTAAGCTGAATGTTAAAGTCTCCACTATTTTGGGAAAGAAAGAAAAGAAAAGAAAGGAAAGAGAGAGAGAGAGGGAGGGAGGGAGGAAGTAATTTAAGATTTAAGATGCTATTTGGCCTCTTCAAACACCATCACAAATCCTCCAATGGGTGGGAAATGTTAGCTATGCCACTGATATTATGATGTAACTGGCTGCAACCTAAGACCTAAATAATGAGAGCATTTATTTATTAAATCTATGTGCTGCCCACCACCCTGATAAAGCAACTGTGGGCAGTCTGTAACATAAAAATATAAATAGAGGAACAATTAAAACTTTAAAACTATGAAAATAAATCAGGAAGAGATGGATGATACAGGAATGAGGTCTTCTTATTCCATATCAACCACCTCCAGTGGTGGTAAATGCCCCCCTTGGGACCCCAAGCCAATGGTGAAAACCAAGTTTTAACGCTCTTCCAGAAAGCCAAAAGGCATTCTCAGCTCCATGGCAGACTGTCCCCCAGGCTGGGCCCACAGCAGAAAAGGCCCCTCTTCACCCTGCATACACAATCCAAAGGGGGCCTCTTTTGTGGGAGCGAGTGGGAAGGACAAGTCCCATCGGAGTGGGATGACTTTTCTGGACCCATCCCATGAAGGGCTTTAAAGGTAATAACCAACACCTTGAATTGACCCGGAACCAAACTGGTAACCAATGCAGCTCAGGCAACAGTGGTGTTCTATGCACCACCCAAGGGACCCCCATAACTGTGAGTGCCACTGCATTCTGCACCAGCAGTAACTTCAAGATAGGGATGCCGCAATGGACGTAAACGGTCATAAGTCACTTTTTTCAGTGCTACTCATATTAAAAACTTCCTTAATAAAGACGATGCAAAGACAACACCTGGAATACTGCAGCCAATTTTGGCCACCATACTACAAAAAAGATGTTGAGACCTTGGAAAAAAGGGTCAGAGAAGAGCAAGTAAGATGATCCAAGACCTGGAGACTAAACATATGAAGAATGGAAGCGGAACTTGCGTCTGCCTAGTCTAAAGAAAAGAAGAAATAGGGGAGAATGATAGCCGTCTTCCAGTATCTGAGGGGCTGCCACAAAGAAGAGGGGGTCAGGTTGTTCACCAGAGCACCAGAGGGAAGGACGAGAAACAATGGTTGGAAGCTGATCAAAGAGAGAAGCAACCTGGAATTAAGGAGAAACTTCCTGGCAGTGAGGACAATCAACTAGTGGAACAGCTTGCCTCCAGAAATCGTGGGCGCTCCATCACTGGAGGTTTTTAAGAAGAGGCTAGACAAGTCATTTGTCTGAAATAGTATAGGTTCTCCTGCTCGAGCAGCGGGCTGGACTAGAAGACCTCCAAGGTCCCTTCCAGCTCTATTCTATTCTAAAAAGAAAAAAGAAAAAAAAAAGGAAACGGTTCTTTAAAAATGAGGCTGGGGCCACTTCTGGGGTTCATGTTAGCCTCTCATCCTGGCTGTCTCTGCTTCTAATTTCACCCTCAGCTCCTCCAGCCATGTTTGCATGGCCAGCCAGGGTCGCTTGGACGCCACTCAGTGCTTTTTCCTCTCCGCCTGCCCTCCTGTTCTTACTCAGAGCCAGGCTGAGCATAATGCCTGCGCAGCCTTTTGCCCAGTCTGTGAGCTGCACTTGGTGATGTAAGCTGATATTTTAATTCTCTTACAAGGAATGGTGTTTAGAGGAATGACTTAAGTGGATTACTCATCCCCTGTAATATCTTGGCAACGCTCCTGTTTCTATTCCTAGACATGACGCTCTGGGCTTCGATTCTTCTCCGCCGTCTCTCCTCCCCTTCTTTGTATTTGTGGGGTTTTTTTTAGCCTGAGAAGCTGACGCTCTTCTGTTTTTCACAGCCCAGGACCGTCCCACCTTGTGCAGGGGTACTGTGGGAGATGTAGTCATGCGCAGCCAGGCCAGGAAGGAAGGAAGATAAACCAGGTTTTACAGTGTGGATTAGAAGTATGTGTCAAAGGGAGACAAATGGTAAAGTGGATTCAGAGAAGTTGGTTTTTTGTTGTTTTTTTAAAAAATCCTCTTTGTATAGCTGAAATGCTGCTGGAGTCCCTAATTAAAGGTAGTCCTCACCATACGGCCACAACTGAACCCAAAATTTCTCTTAAGCGAGACAGGTATTAAGTGACTTTCCCCCCATTTTACAACCTTTTTTTCCCCCACGGTTGTTAAGTCAATCCCTGCAGTTACGTTAGTAACACAGTTCTTAAGTGAACCTCGGATTCTAATGCAGTGTTTCTCAAATGTGGCGACTTTAAAACAAGTGGACTTCAATTCTCAGAATTCTGGGAGTTGAAGTCCACTTGTTTTAAAGTTGTTGCATTTGACAAACATGTTTGACAAACACCGTTCTAATGGGGGGGGGAAGAGAAACATGGAATGACTACAACATTCTATGAATATTAACAGCTCCTTGTCTTTTTTGATTTAAAATTCTGGCGCTTCGCAATCTCTGGCTGCGAGGAGATCCTGCATTTGATTTCATCCCAAGGTTCTTTAAACACCAGCAGTGACATGCTGGTTGTGGAGGCTGAGCATGAAATCCAAAAAGTCAAGATGGCACCTCAATGGTGTGATCATTGCTTTTTTTGTTTTCCCTGTGATTCCCCTCTTCCTTGTGGAGTCTGACACTACTTTGGTTATAAATATAACACAGTCCATGGAACTCCTGGCTGGCTATTACGGGTGTTGGGCCAACCCAGGCCAGAAGCTGCAGGTTGGAAGTGCGGTGTGCCAGTCGGATCCTTAAAGGACTGGCAGGGCCACGAAGTTGGAGGAGGCCAAGCACTAGAGTAGCTGCTTCCAAGAAGGGTTTCAGGATTTGGAGCAAGTAGAGGAGCTCTTGTTTGCGAGTTCTGGATCATTGCAATGCAGGACCACCTGGATCCAGCTTAGCTGGACTGCTGGGCTTGCCAGATGTAGGTATATCTTGCTAGAACTTCTGGAAATAGAACATGGAATGTAGAATTATTGAGTTCAAAGGGACCTTGAAGATCTTCTGGTTCAGCCCACTGCCCCTGGCAGGAGATCCTATACCTTTTCAGACAATTTGTTGTGCAATCTCTTCTTGAAATCCTCCAGCGATGGAGCATCTACAATTTCTGAAGGCAAGCTGTTCCACTGATCGATTGCTCCAATTGTCAGGAAATTTCCCCTTAGTTCCAGGTTGGGTCTCTCTTTGATAAGCTTCCATCCCTTACTTCTTGTCCTCCCCTGAGGTGCTTTGGAAAATGGATCAGCCCCTCCTTCTTTGTGGCAGCCCCTCCACTACTTAAAGACTGCTATCATGTCACCCCTAGACCTTCTCTTGGATAGCCTGGACACACCAATTCCCCCCAGTCCTTCATCACAGAGTTAAACCCTCAGACCCCTGATCATCTTGGTAGCTCTTCTCTGCACCCTAATTCAAAACACCCCAATCTCTGGACTTTTATTTCTTTGCCCCTGGAGTCGTTTCATTTTTTTCTTTAAAGAGGGGGGAGAGATCTGCAAATAATCGATTGCTCGTCATCTGCAAGGGGGGGGAAACGCCGAGCGCTCGATTTTCTTTCATTAATTTTGTTTTTCCTCTCAAAAGTGCAAACTTGCTTTCCCCGAACCACACTTCCCAGAATCCATTAGAAGCGAGGAGGCGCGAACCTTCCGCTTGAGTGTCGGCGATTTCCTCCAATCGCCAGGGGCCGGCGCCCGAAGGCGGCCTATCAGCGCGCAGAACCAGGCGCCGGCCGAGAGTGTAGCGGAGCGAGCGAGTCGGTGGCTCAGTAGCCTTGCGGGCTTAGCATCACGTGGGAACCGCTGGTCCCGAGCCCGGCAGGATCTGCGCTCCGGGCGATGGGTGAGTAGGCGCGTGCGATTGCGTGCGAAGGAACCCAAGCCGTGGAAGTTGGGCTCCCGGGGCGCCTTGAGGACTAGGAACTTGTTTTGGGGGGGGGGAGGGACGCTGAATTTGTATGCTTTATCGGTTAGTTTCGGTGGCGGATCTTGACCGGGGAGGAATCGGGGTGACAAAAGTTTGACGGGGAGCAGGAAGAAATTGGGGAGGGAGCGACGGGAGTTGGATTTCTCCCCCTCTCCGTTCGCTGGTCCGAGTTGTGTAAACTTTTGTCTAAAGTTTTTTTTTGGGGGGGGGAGGAGGGGTTTGTTTTGTTTTGTTTTGTTTTGGTACGAAGGCGCGTCGAATTGTTGTAGATGTCCTGATTGTAAAAAAGAGGGTGGAAAAAAAAATGTCCGGATTTGTTAGTTGCGGCATATGCACCCCCCTCCCCCCCGCTATTTATCATTATTAGTAAGTCCGCTTCTGACGCGAACAGCTGGGTGACTCAAGAGCGCTTGCAAAAAAAAAAAAAAAACAACCTTGTAAAAATTCAACAACAAACCAGCTTTCTATAAATCACCCGTCGCCGCCTTCGGCCCTCCCCAACCGGCTGGGAAAAATCCTCCGGGCTTCGTGTCAATCTGGTTCCCCCCCCCCCGCTTCCCTGAAGAGCGAGAGGCGAGAGTGTGTGTGTTTTGACGTTTATTTTCACGAGGAGGTTGTTCTCAGTTGTGTATTGGAGAAAACCTGCGCTTCAAACAAGGCTGGAAGGTGGGAAAGAAAGTTCAAATCTTCCTGCTTTTTCTTCCTCGAGAGACTCTGACCCCTGATCCGCTCTCTCTCTCTCTCTCTCTCTCTCTCTCTCTCTCTCTCTCTCTCTCTCTCTCTCTTGTTTTTTGCAACCGACTGAAGCTATAATTATGGGCAAGAACTGAGCTACTGAGTTGTAAAACTCACCAAGTTTGTCATTTCCGAGCAGGTGGAAAAAAACCCCACCAGACTCCTTTCCTCTTTCCTTCCCTTTTTCATTCTTTCCTTTCCTTTCCTTTCCTTTCCTTTCCTCTTTCCTTCTTTTTTCTTCTTTTCTCTCCCTCCCCACCCCCACGCCCCCGCGGCGCGCGGACGGATGGTGTGTGTTTTGTCAAGCAGCCAAATTGCTTGCAACTCTCTGCCTTGACGATTACAACACAACAAACCCTCCCCTCCCCTCCCCCCCTCCCGCCGGCCTCCTTCCCACACTTGGTATTCGGAACATCGTGTATGTCGACTCCATTCACGTGATGCGAGCTTTTTGCGCTGTGCCAGCTCGGTAGCCTGCAAGTTTTCCTCCGGCTTTTTTTCCTTCGGGCTTTTCGCGGGAAGAAGGGAAGAAACGGGCTGGGCTGGGCTGCCTCCCAAGAGCCCCGTTCCTGGTGAGCGAGGTTTTCCTGGTGAATTTCAGGCGGCTTTTATCTTCCTCTCCATCAACCGACTCCGCCGGTTCATTTCAGCCCACGTCGCTGATATTTTTTTATTTTTTTGCAACCCGGCTTCCTGTTGCGGCTTTTGCATCGCTCGCCTGTTCTCAGCTAATTTGTGGTGAGCATCGAGCTACGGCTGCTTTCCTCCCCCCCCCTCCCTCCCCATCACCAATAGGTTCCCAGCAGTGTCGTGTGAGGCCAGGTCCCGCGCTGGGAAGAGTTAAAAGAGAGAGAGAAAAAGAGACTTTTTGAATGAAACTCGTGTCCTGCCGCTTGAGTTCCTTTTGCTGCTGTCACTTCCTGAAAGTAGCTGGGTCTGCATTCTTGGGAAGATGCAAATGACTTCTTTGCTGCTAGCTTCCTCCTCCTCCTCCTCCTCCTCCTCCCGCCAGAAATATTTTTGCAGATTGATTGTCCTTATTAAAATCTTCCTTCCCTTCCTCCCCCCCCCCCGCCCTCAGCCGCATTCCCCCAGAATCTTTTAGCTGCAAAACCCCACCGCCGTTCGTGGTCTGCTTCCAGCCATGTTCTGTCTCTCTCTCTCTCTCCTGCTTTGCCCCGGGATACGAGCGATGCTGGATGCTGTTGCAGGAGGAGAGAGAGCGCGCGGGGGGGGGGGGGGATTGCTGTGAAATACAATCCTTACTGTCATTCCTGGCAAAGACGCAAGGCTTACACACGCGTGCCAGGGAATTCTGAAATGCCAGAAGGGGCCTGGTGTTCCAGTTTCAAATGGAGATGGAGCCCAGAGAGGTAATTGAATAAAATTACCACGGTTCATACTTCATTCGCCAGACAGTCTACTTTTCTTCTGGCTGGTTTCCATACAGCAGAATTCGCCCCCTGCTTGAGTTGCAGCGGGTTGGACTAGAAGACCTCCAAGGTCCCTTCCAACTCTTGTTTGATTCTGTAAAAATGTCAGCGTGCTTTATGAAATGAGCCCCGTTTTCTGGTTGGTTTATGCAGAACAGGATTAGATTTGAGCCCAGCCTGTAGGTGTGGGAGTGCAGGATTTTGGTGTCCAAAGCCAAGGGGGATATCGGGGAAGCCCCTTCCCCAAAACAGGAGTGCCTTAACTTGACTGATTAAAATTAAACCAAGCTAATGAAGCGGAATCGATATGGATGGTTCTTTGCGGTCTTAGTCATTTTTCCCATTTGCTTACTTAAATGTTACAAGTTGGTAATGAGTTTTCAAAGAACTTTATGAGGGCAAAAGTTGTCATGTGTGCTACATTTTCCAATGTGGCTGTGATCCAGAAATACTTGACTCTTGGCGGGCAGCCACTGGTTCGCACAATACTCTCTACACGGTCAGCTAGCAATCTAGTGGTTTCTTCTGCGTAATATGCAAACTTTGATGAACTTTTTAACCGCAATTCATTTTTGGTGACTTGTCCTGCGTACCCTAACCCCTTGTGTTCACTTAGGGCGGATTATATTGTGGTGACTCTAAAACGTGAATTGATCTAGTGGTCAATTTTTGCCTGTTGAGTGTGTGTTCCTCGGGTCTGCTGGTTCAGAGTTTTACCCAGATATTTCTCCCAAAGGCTGCACTTGGCTGACACTTTGAACTTTCCAAAGTTGGTGGAACTTAGAGGAAACTTTGTAGAGGTCTGTGATTTTGGCCGCTTGAGTAATTTCCTCTTACATGGGATGGGTTTAAAGGCATTTAATTGCTATCCGAACCTTCGAAAGAGTATATTCTGTTACGATTCTGTCTTGGCAGAGCCCTTGGTACACCTGAGGATTACTCTACAGGTGGTCCTAAACTTACGACCACAACGGAACCGCAAAGGTCCATTGCTAAGCAAGACAGTGGTTAAGAGTATTTTGCCCCATTTTACGACCTTTCTTGTCTCAGTTGTTAAGTGAGTCACTGCTGTTGTTAAGTCAATTAGCCGGTTGTTAAGTGAATATGGCCTTCCCCATTGACTTTGCTTGTCAGAAAGTCACAAAAGGGGATCACGTGACCCCAGGATACTGCAACCGTCATAAATACTTGTCAGTTGCCAAGCATCCAAAAATTGATCATGTACCCATGGGGATGTTGGAACTGTCATAAGTGTAAAAAAACGGTCATATGTCATTTTTTCAGTGCCATTGTAACTTTGAGTGGTCACTAAACGAATGCCAGTCAAGGACTACCTGTAGTAACTTGCCAGCCATTTTGGAAAAAATGAGTTCTCTTGAAACCACCAAGTTTTCTTCCCTTGACACATTCTTCCATACCTCTGTTTTCCTGTGGGAACGAGGCGCACGGCGTATCTACCTTTCTGTGACGACGCTGACATCCCTTAACAGGAGAGCTGTGGGCAGCTGAGACCAAAAGGAGCAGGGCAATAACGTGAGAGATTTTACAGAATTGCTCGACATTTGTGGCTCTGCCATATGATCTATGCCAGGGGTAGACAACCTGGGCTCTTTTATGAATGGTGGACTTCAACTCCCAGAATTCCTGAGCCAGCTATGCTGAGGGGAAAGGGAGAGGTTTCCAAGCTAAACCATGCTGGCTCAGGAATTTTTGGAGTTGAAGTCCACGAGTCATAAAAGGGCCAAGGTTGCCTACCCCTGGTCTATGCCATGGCCCTTAAATGGGATGAGGTCAGTCACGGGAAATGTTGAGGACTCATACATTCCTTGGGCTGGAAGGGACCTTGGAGGTCTTCTAGTCCAATCCCCTGCCCAAGGCAGGAGACCTTATTGTTTTCCAGATTAGTGTCTGTCCAATCTTTTCTTGAAGTCCTCCAGAACACTCACAGTTCTTGAAGGCAAGCTATGCTATTGATTTCACTGTTAGGAAATTCCTCCTCATTTGCAGATTGGATCTCTCTTTGATCAGCTGCCCTCCACTCATCCTGGAAAATCCTTCCACAGAAAAGCTTGGCTGATGGATCCTCTCACTTTCCAAGCTATATATAAGCCCAGATTGTGATCCTGTTTCCTTGGGATGCACCCTGTGTCTTGCCAATTTTTTTCAGAAGCGAAACTGTGATTAACATTTCTATTTTTCCTGCCTTAATCTGAGAATAGAATAGAGCTGGAAGGGACCTTGGAGATCTTCTAGTCCAACCCCCTGCTCAAGCAGGAGAACTGTCCTATACCATCTCAGACAAGTGACTGTCCAGTCTCTTCTTTAAAACCTTCAGGGATGGAGCGCCCATGATTTCTGGAGGCAAGATGTTCCACTGGTTAATTGTCCTCACTGTTAGGAACTTTCTCCTTAATTCCAGGTTGCTTCTCTCTTTGATCAGTTTCCAACCATTGTTTCTTTTCTTGCCCTCTGGTGCTTTGGAGAATAATTTGACCCCCTCTTCTTTATGGCAGCCCCTCAAGTACTGGAATACTGCTATCATGTCTCCCCTATTTCTTCTTTTCTTTAGATTAGCTAAACCCAACTCCTGCAGCCGTTCTTCATATGTTTTAGTCTCCAGGCCTTTGTTCATCTTAGTTGCTCTTCTCTGAACGTTTTCCAAGGTCTCAACATCTTTTTTGTAGTATTGTGACCAAAATTGGCTGCAGTATTCCAGGTATGGTCTTACTAGGGTTCTATAAAGCGGTACTAATACCTCGTGTGATCTTAATTCTATGCCTCTGTTTATACAGCCCAGGATTGTATTAGCTTTTTGGGCTGCTGCCGCACATTGCTGGCTCATGGTCACGTGATCGTCCACTAGGACTCCAAGGTCCATCTCACAGTTACTGTTTTTAAGCCAGGTCTTGTAGCTTTGATTTTTCCTACCTAAACGTAAAACTTTGCTTTTCTCCACATCTCTGTATGCCTTCTTGGAAGCAAATTGGCCGGCTGAAGGATGAGGCAGGGAAGCTGATTTTCTTGGGAAGGGCTTGGCCTCCTCCTCCTCCGTCTTCCTCCAGTTTTGAGAAGCATGACTTCACTGGCATTATGCCACATCTGATTTCGGTGATTCAGCCCCAGGTTTTGAAACTGATCTGTGGTACGGTATTTCTCTTTAAGTGTGTGTGTGTGTGTGTCTGTGTTTTTGTTTGTTTAACTTACTGGCACTGACAATTTTATTTCCCCATTTCATTCCCCAATCGTTTTTTTTTCTTTTTTTCAGACTTTTTATGAAAGTTCCTTTCTGTTTTTGAAGATAGGGTTCTGCCGTTGCCAAATTGTCAGATCTCACTCCTTAAAAGGAGTGTCTTGGAGAGTCAGGTGACAGGTTAATTCAAGGAATTAATTGAAAAGCTCATAAAACTTTGGAATTTTTGAGGTTTGTGCTTAAGTCATCCCCAGAAACTGGTGTTCAAAAATAGGCTGCCTCTCAATACCAATTTTCCCCTTGGTCTA